GGAAATGATTTAAGAAGAAAGAAAATCAAAAGAAGAAACATTGCCAAATAAAGCTTTGTCTGAAAAGAAACACTTCATACGCTGGTATAGACAGCACTCCTGCCACATTTGTCAAACATATTGTTCTACTTTCATGAAAAAGGAATCTCATAGGGTCGTCATCACTCATTGTTCACTCTACTGAAAGGCACTGGTAACTAAAACTCCTCCTGTTATCCTGAAGCAGTTTTATTGGGGTTTTTTTGTTTTTTTTTTACACTCATGCTGGCAACACCCCTATCAGAAGCAGACCTCTGAATCATGGCATTTTTAAGAGATTTTTCAAGAATGGCAACATTGTGGAGAGCCCTTCTCTACCACTTAGAAGAGGGAAATCTTTAAAAGGACCTTGAACTACGAGCAGAGGTTTCACTTTTCCAAAGAAAAAGAAAACCCATTCTTGTTTCACTTTGGAAAAGAAATATATATGCTTTATTCATATTACCTGCCAGTTGTTCATACTTACATGAATAAAATAAATCTTTCCATTTAAAACCCTACAGTCATCATTATGGATACTGTGGAAAAATAACATGCTTTCTTGGCTAAGCTGCCAAGTTGAAAAGAGAGCTGTGACGGATATCCTTATAACTTTTATAAAAACAATTTCTTTTTAGAGCAGTCTTAGGTGCACAGCAAAATTGAGCAGATGGTATGTAGATTTCCCATATGTCCCCTGACCCACACATGTGCAGTCTCCTCCATTATCAAATCCTGTACCAGAGTGGTACACTTGTCATAATCGAGGAGTCTACACTGACACATCATTATCACCCAAAGCCTATACTCTGCATTAGGGTTCATTTCTTCGTGTTGTACACTCTATGGATTTTGACAAACGTGTATCATATTTCTACCATTGTAGTATCTTAGAATAGGTTCACTGCCCTGAAAATTCTCTGTGCTCTACTTACTCTTCTGCTTGGGTCATGATCTCACAGTTCATGAGTTCAAACTCCTTGACAAGTCTGTGCTAACAGTCCAGAGCCTTCTTGGGATTCTCTGTCTCTCCGTCTCTGCTTCTCCCCTGTTCACTTTCTCTCTCTCAAAATAAATAAATAAACATTTTATAAAAAACTGACACTTCCACTTGGTATATTAACCAGTCAAGTTTTTAATTTTTCTGCAGGGAGATCAAGGAGGTAACTACATACTTTTATTGTACTTTATAATTCCACCAATTAATAACAAAAAATAATAATGTAGGCAATTCTGGCTTTGAGGTTTTGTTTGGAAGATTCTTGGCTCCTAGGTGAAATTCATATTACTAGGATTCCTTTTTCTTTTCTTTTTTTTTTTTTAAAGAGAGAAAGAAAGAGCATGCACAGAGGAAAGAAGCAGAAGGAAAGAGAGAAAATCTTCAGCAGGCTCATCACAGAGCCGGAAGCAGGGTTTAATCCTATGACCCTGGGATCATGATCTGAGCAGAAATCAAGAGCTGGATGCTCAACTGATTGAACCACCTAAGCCACCCCTTGGATTCTTATTTTAATTGCAGATACACATAGCGTAGAACTACATATTCTCAGAAGTAATTGGAAAAATACAAATATCTACTACTTTAATATAATAAAAAGTCAAATTCCCCCCAGCCAACCTAAAATATTATAATATATAACAAGAGCACATGAAAGGGGGGGAAAAGCCATTGACTGGAAACTGAATCATACCCAGAATATTCAAGAGGGAACTTTTTATGCTTTCATATAATTCCAGATTAACTGAGTCCTGCCAGCACTATTTCTTGAAACATACCATTTTTCCCATTATAATACATTTTAATTGCAATTGAAATCCTATGCTTTATCATATTTGTATAGACTTTAGATATTTTGGTTTTAAAGCAGAAATCCAAATTCTTGCTATGCCCCAAATTCCCAAATCTGCACTCTGTAATAACTGTATTAGCTGTGCAGAATGAAACACAAAATTATATTCTTTAAAATCAAGGTAAATTCATTGGCTCTCTGGCATTCAGGCTTTCAAACTACACTACCAGCTTTCATGAGTCTCCAATGCAAACAGCATCTTGTGGAACTTCTCAGCATTCATAATCAAGTAAGCCAATACCTTCTGATAAATATCTCTCTCTGTCACTCTCCTTCTCTCCATGTATATACTATATATTGGATATAAAACAGATCAAAGACCTAAACCTAAAAACTAAAAAAATAAAACTCTTGGGGGAAAAAATAGAGAAAAAGCTTCATGACACCAGATATGGCAGTGTTTTTTCAGCTATGCCACAAAAAAACATAGATAACAAAAGAAAAAGTAGTTAAATCAGACTTTGTCAAAATACTTTGTGTATCGAGGGGCACTATCAACAGAATGAAAAGGCATCCTGTGGAATGACAGAAAACATTTGCAAAACATATATATCTGATAAGGGATTATTATCCCAGAATATATAGACTCATCAGCAACACTAACAAAAAACACACAAATAATCCTATTAAAACATGGGTAATGATAGGACTTGAATAGACATTTCTCTAACTAAGATACACAAACAGCCAATAAGCACATGAAAAGATGCTCAACATCATTAAAGATTAGGGAAATGCAAATCAAACCACAGTGAGATACTACTTCAAATCCCTTAGGATGGCTATTATCAAAAAGCAGAAAACAAGTGTTGATAAGGTTGTGGAACAACTGGCACTCTTTTTTAAAATATTTATTTATTTTGAGAGAGAAAGAGCACACATGCGCACAATCGGGAGGGGAGCAGAGAGGGGGAGAAAGAGAGAAGGAGAGAGAGAATCCCAAGCAGGCTGTCAGCACCTGACTCCGGGTTCAATCTCACAAATCAGGAGATTATGACCTGAGCCAAGATCAAGAACCAACACTTAACCCACTGAGCAAACCAGGTGCCCTGAAACTAAACTCTTGATCATTGCTGGTGGGAACGTAAAATGATGCAGCCATTATGGAATAAAGTATGGCATTTCCTCAAAAATTGAACATAGAACTACCATGTGATCCAGCAAGTCCACCTCTAAGTATACATCCAAAAAACCTGAAAGCAGAGATTTAAACAGATTATTTGTATATCGTGTTCATAGCAACATTATTCACAATAGCCAAAAGGTAGAAACAACCCAAGTGTTCATAGATGGGTGAATAGATAAACAGGATGTGGTATATACATTCATACAATGGACCATTACTCAGCCTTAAAAAGGAAGGAAATTCTGACACATGCTACAACGTGGATGGACCGTGAAGAGAAATAAGGCAGCCACAAAAAGACAAATATTGTCTGATTGCACTTATATGAGGTACCTAAAGTATGCAAATTCATGAAGACAGAGCAGAACGAAGGCTGCCAAGGGCTGGGGGGAGAGGGCAGTTAGAAAGTTATTGTTTAATGGCTGCAAGAGTTTCCGTTTCGGAAGATGAAAAAGTTCTGCAGGTGGATAGTGGTGATGGTTGCACAACAATGATGAGTGAAACTAATGCTACTAAACTGTACGCTTAAAAGTGGTTAAGATCGGGGCGCCTGGGTGGCTTAGTCGGTTAAGCGACCGACTTTCACTTAGGTCATGATCTCGCGGTTCGTGGGTTCGAGCCCCGCGTCGGGCTCTGTGCTGACTGCCAGCTCAGAGCCTGGAGCCTGTTTCAGCCTGTGACTCCCTCTCTCTCTGACCCTCCCCTGCTCACCCTGTCTCTCTCTCTCTCTCTCTCTCTCCTAGAAATAAATAAAACATTAAAAAAATAAATAAAAGTGGTTAAGATGGTAATTTTGACATTATATGTGTATTATCCCACAACGCTTAAAAAGAAAACAAAACAGAAAACAAACGAAAAACAAAAAACAAGCCAACAGTACTGACTTGATGCATTCTGGGAAGTGTAAGGACTACATATGCTGTTCGGTAAAGCATAAATCGTAGGACACCTCAGAGGGCCTCCAAACTCATTCCCTTCTTCCCACCCTAAAGGGGCTAGATAATTGATAGCACTCAGGAATCAGCTGGTTAAACAATATATATACTGATGATATATATGACTTACTGAATGCATTCCTATTATTGTTTTCCTTACCCAAAGCTTTGCGTTAACACACACACACACACACACACCCTTAAAACATTAACACCTAAAAAAGCAAGAAGTCCATAAAACATTATCATCTAAAAAACAAAGTGCCTAAAAAAGCAACGGAAGGCAGCATCAAGTCTATGTAGTTGTTCATTTTACCCCCATAGTCTGTTTTTGCTTCCAAGACCTGTTCCCGCACCAGTGCCGTTTCGTCGCTAAGGCTTTAATTGTGAACAAACGCTGGGCTGGATTGGGATGGTCTTCACCTGTCAGGTTCTACGCCTAAACTGCACGGACTTGGTGCGTCCTCCAACTGCAGAGAGAGCGGGCGGCCAAGTGTCACAGTCCGTTTTTGGCTTCCACAGTCTGAAGGGCAAAGCGCTCTCCTCTCCGGCCTCGCTGCACTCCTCTCCCCCCGCCCCCCGTCACGTCGCCCATCTCGTCTTTCCTCCCCTTTCCCGCTTTCGCTCTTTCGAGTGCTGAGCTCGCGCGACCACAAGCCCAACACAAACCGTGCCTTCCTCTTGAGAAAAACTCGTGCGTCAAATGAGGCTGGAAACCGCGAGGACTTAGATGCTGGGTGGCCCCTCCGGTTCATCCCACGCACCCCGGAAAGGCAGAGCACCGGCTGTGGGGTGGCGGGGGGCCCCCGGCATCGGGGCCGGCGCCCGTTCCGCGCCGGGAACAACCTCCCTACTGTTCCTGCCAGCAGCGGGTGCCAGCCGTCAGCCCGGGCGCGCCCCGGCCGCCCCGGGTGCCAGGGTCGGATCGGGTGACCGCGCGGGCGTGCGCCAGGCTGTGGGGCCGGCCTCCGGGCCGAGGGAGGCCCGCCCCCGCCCCGCCCCGCCCCGCAGGCCTTGCGCCCTGCTCCTGCGCCCGCCGCGCCCGCCGCCACTCGCCGCCGCTCGGCCGGCCCCTCCGCCTCCCCCGCTCCCCGCGCCGCAGCCATGGGTCCCGGAGCCGCACGGGCGCCGGCGCTGCGGCTCCTCGCGCTGGGCGCGCTGCTGTGGCCGGCGGCCGGAGCCTGGGAACTCACCGTCCTGCACACCAACGACGTGCACAGCCGGCTGGAGCAGACCAGCGAGGACTCCAGCAAGTGCGTCAACGCCAGCCGCTGCGTGGGCGGCGTAGCGCGCCTCTTCACCAAGGTGCAGCAGATCCGGCGCGCGGAGCCGCACGTGCTGCTGCTCGACGCCGGCGACCAGTACCAGGGCACCATCTGGTTCACCGTGTACAAGGGCGCCGAGGTGGTGCACTTCATGAACGCCTTGCGCTACGATGCCATGGTAAGAGGGCTCCTGGCTCGTCGGGGAGCCTGGGGAGCCCCGGGATGGGAGTCCCGAGCAGAGAGGGAAATCGGGTGTCCGGCCCAGGGACAGGGCGCAGAGCACTGTGGGGAGAAAGGCCGACGTACCAGGTCGATGCAGACATAGAAGTCCCTTGGATGATTCGTTTTAAGTGGATTGATGTGTTTAAGCCCCCCGCTAGGAGAAGGGGTATTTAGAGAAGAGGAACTCTGCCCTATTCGAAGGGGGGTCACTTGGGGTACGTGGGATCATTGGCAGTTATCCAATGCCGGGAATAGGAGTAGAATGGTTTATTTCGTTTTAATTGGAAGGAAAACTCAACTCAAAGAGGTTGCTGCGTACAGTGTCCTGGCCACCGGCTCCAAAAGAGAGACAGGATAAGAATGGGTTGCAGATCCGTTTGACGTTGGAGCTTGAGCACGGTTAGGCTCATTAGCTTGGGGTAGATTCCTGGTGCAGCTCCCTTCTGTATACAAGGTATTTATTGTCTCCCTGAGCCTCAGTTCCAGTCTCTATAAAATGGGGATAATAATTGTATCTACCTCAGAGGATTGTCTGGTACATAGTATGGCCTATGTAAATGTTAGTTATTATTACCAGATACTACTCAATAGTTTTTTTTTTTAACGAAAGAAAGAAACTTCCATAGAGACCCAAAATGCTTTAACACTGGGGTTTTCGAAGAATTTCAATAAAATCAGTTTGGCAGCAGAGATACAGGAAGAGAATCCAACTTAAGAGATGAGGCACTCTTAAAACATGTGCAAGAGTTTTAAATCCAAGCTCCCAAATGCTCTATTAAAGGCAATGCCTTATTTGTGGACTAAATTCTAGAAAATGAGCAGAGAAAGGTTACACAGTAATAAATATGACCAAAACATATATATGGTTTGTTTATTCAGCCAAACCACCACCCAAGTTTAATCCTTTGTAAAATCCTAGACTAAAGGGATTCTGTGGAGAAACTGGCAATAAGAAATCTTAAGAGCCTTGTAAGAGGAAGAACAAAGCAGGGCCCAGGGAAATCTCTGGAGACCATGTGTAGGGAAAGGAAAGAGAGGTGTGGTCCAGGCTGGGATACAGAGGGCTGACAATACACTTGGAATGAGAGGAGTACAGAAGTTATTTTTTCCCTGGAAACTTGGAGAAAGGAAGATGGGAAAAGATGAAAAGATAGAGCTGTTTGATTTTTTTTCTGCCAACAAGAAAGCTCGTTTCAGAGAGGTGAGAGCTCCTCTCCATTCTGATTATTGGTCGTAAGGTTATCAGGTCACTGAAAGCACAACAATTCAGATAGATCCCTAAGCCCTCCAAGTCCACAGATGGGGGCAGGGGGGCTCACCAGCATCTATCTGGACTCCACAGAAGAATGATGGGTCTCAAGAACCCTGTATGGTCGCTAAGCGTTGGTATTACCACAGCCCAACCTGTCCGATGCTTTGTGTGCGATGCTGATAGAATAAATATTTATTGAATTGAATCGTTACTAGCCTACATCTTCATATCCTCCCGGAAGCAAAAATAAACATAATGTGAGTTTGTTTTGATTTCACATGAACCACATACTTGAAACTTTTCCTCTTGTGACAGCGTTTCCTCCATAGCTATGTAAACTCCTTTTGGTGGAAAAAAAAGAGAATTCCTAGTTTTCCCTAATACTGATGTTTTCCTTTTTAAGTCAAATTGAGTCAAATTGATGATATTAATCATCATATCAGTGTATATGATAGGACTCTGGGTGAGGCTGGAGCAATTTGCTGTGTTACAGTGGTTCACCACTGGGAATTATTTAGAATGCTGGAGCAATTTGCTGTGTTACAGTGGTTCACCACTGGGAATTATTTAGAATGCTGTTTGTTGGATGCAGTGATTTTCAGCTTCACTCAGAATAATTGGACTGTGGCCTGAGGAAAATAAGCTGATGTGTAATGTTAACAGGAGGTAAAATGGGGGAGGCTGATGGCCACGTTCCTGATAGTATCTCATCAGGACTTACTCTGCAGTTCTGGGGTTTGACAAACATGCTTTGACCTGAATAAAATTCTAGCCTTGTATTGCTTTAACATGCGATAAGGAGACTTTTCACTGTCGTTTTTTGTTTATATTATTCTACTTGCAGGGAATTCATTGCTGTTCTGCAATAAATGTCCCCCTACTCCACCCACTCATCCTCCATATCTTGAATACCAGGAAGCTGGAGATTCAAGGTTGGATGGAAAACAGTTGTGCAGGGAGATCTCCAGTCTCTCAAAACTGGACTTGGTTAGAGGAGCCAAATCTAAGGACTCAAGAGGATAGAAGGCAAAGAAGAAGCTACTAGCATCTAGCTCAACCCCAGGCGTTCCCCAGGCGTTCCCTAGACTTTCTAGACCTGCATGTCCCAGCCAGAGCTTCTTGAGCAATTCTGATACCTCTGGAGGCCCTGGGGCAAGCATGGAAACACCCTAAACCCAGCTGCTAGGTAGAAAATTCTAGAGGGAGAATGTCAGAACCACTCATTGGCATAGCTGTCTCTGTGGAAGGATTGGCATCCCTGAAGGCATGAGGAAGACAGCATGGATGCAGTCACAGTGTGAGCTTGGCCACGTTACTTTCTCTGAGCCTCCTGTTCCCTGACTGCAAAACAAGGTAACTGCCACCTCCCTGTGTTGGACTTTTGTGAGCGGTACATAAGACAGTATGTGTAAAAATCCCTACCACCCTGTTGGATCATAGTAAGACCTCAGTAAAGGTTAGTTCTGGGGGCGCTGCCAGGAAGAAAACAAAACAAGGGAAGGTTTGGGTTTTGCAGTGTTACTTTATCTGATTCCAACTGCCTGGCACACTCCACCATCCCTCCTCTGCCCTTCCACTGCTTTTTCTAAGCCTCATTTTCTAAACTATTTTACTCGTTGAGCAGACTCGTGAACCGCCGCCCCCACAGCGCACAGTCTGAGGAATTCATGCCCGGAGGTGTGCTTCCCACCTTCAGAGTGGGCTGTGAGGAAGATAGCTTCAGGGGAGAAGGGCAGCCTCCTCTGTAGCCGGCCCTGCTTCTGACGTGCTTCCTCCTGCATCCACTCTCTGTCCAAAGGACTGCAGCCATAGCAAACTGCGCCTTGTTGCCTGCGCCAGCAGACAGGGTGGGGACCAGGGCCCCTGTCTTTAACTCACCCAGCGGACCTCTAACCAAATCGCTTTCTGTCAACATTTCCCACCTCCTGCATGAACAACCACTCTGTTTGATGTTTATATTTTGTTTCTGTGTGTACTTGCCGAAGCCTTATTATAGTTAAGGCACTTTTCTTTTTTCAAATATTTATTTGTTTTTGGGAGAGCACATGCAGGGGAGGGGCAGAGAGAGGGGGGACAGAGAGGATCTGAAGTGGACTCTGTGCTGACAGGCTGACAGCAGAGAGCCCCACGTGGGGCTTGACCTCACCAACTGTGAGATTATCACCTGAACCCATGTCAGACATTCAACCTCCTGAGCCACCCAGGTGCCCCCATATATAGTTATGGTTCTTATGTTTTAAATTATATAACTCTTCCTGATGCTCAGCTCATTCTCTTTCTTTCTTTTGCCCTAAACTGGCTGTGTGGGTTTTTGTTTTAGTTTTATCTGAGTATCCTTGACACACAATGTTACGTTAGTTTCAAGTTACAAGGCAGTGATTGGACAAGTTTATGCATTCTCCTGTACTCATGAATGTAGCTACCATCTGTCACCATAAAACCACACAACACTGTTACAGTATTATTATATTATAGTCCTTATGCTCTGCCTTGTATTCCTGTAACTTCATTCCATAACTGGAAGCCTGTATTTCCCACTGCCCCTCACCCATTTTGCTCAACCCCGCACCTCTTCCCTCTGGCAACCATTAGTTTGTTCTCTGTACATACAGGTCTGATCCTGCTTTTTAAAACTGGTTGTTTTCACGTTTGTCCATGTCATCCTGTGTATACCTTGTACTGTGCTCCACAGAGATCTCCGTAGATTTTACCATCTGCTCTTCTGGTGATGGTTTTGGATATGGCACCATTTATGCTGCAGTTACACAAATGTGCTGCTCTGAATAGCTTCCTCCATCTCCTACCTGGGAGGATTTCTTTGGGATCCATACCCAAGGCCGAATTGCTGGTCTTAGGGAAGTGTATCCTTAAGTTGACTAAAGACTTCCAGATTGCTTTCCTGTGGGACTGGTATGCTCTACCCTCCCTGACTTCCACCCCCACACAGATGTGAATCCCCAAATCCTTACTTCTATCTTGCAGCATTATCCAGCTTTCCAGTAGATATGAAATGCCATCTCATTATTTGATCTTGTATTTTTCCAATAGCTCCTGACTTTGGCATATTTACTTTTGAGGTTTCCTCTCCCCTAATTGCATGTTCACTTCCTTTGCTCTTTTTTAAAAAATTAGATTTACGGGGCGCCTGGGTGGCTTAGTCGGTTAAGCGTCCGACTTTCGCTTAGGTCATGATCTCGCGGTTCGTGGGTTCGAGCCCCGCGTCGGGCTCTGTGCTGACTGCCAGCTCAGAGCCTGGAGCCTGTTTCAGTCTGTGACTCCCTCTCTCTCTGACCCTCCCCTGCTTACGCTGTCTCTCTCTCTCTCCTAGAAATAAATAAAACATTAAAAAAATTTTTAAAAAAATTAGATTTACTCTGTTTTTCCTGATTTTCAGGAGTTCTAAGTATTGATCTGTGACCAATTTTAGACATTGCAAGTATCTTCTGATTATGCTTATTAACTCAGTCCTTCGTTGAACAGAAAATTGAACAGAAATCCTTCCTTTGGTATAATCAAATTAATCTCTCTTTTTTTTTTATTGCCTTGTGATTTGTGCTTTTGAAAGTTTACATAAGAGTTTATTAATTTGTTGAGGCGCCTGGGTGGGTCACTCGATTAACTGTCCCATTCTTGATCTCAGCTCAGCTCATGATCTCATGGTTCATGAGTTTGAGCCCTGCATCAGGCTCTGTGCTGGCAGTGCA